GAAGCAATCATTAAGGCTGTAGAAAATATGGTAGCAAAACCAAACAGTCTTCTGTCTTCTGAGCTCCTACCTTCCTGAGCTTAGTTGCTCAGCTCCCAGTTTTTTAGTCAGCAATTGCCATCTTTAATGGAGTACATTGCTTTATTACATCCTCTCTTTTCTACCTCCTCTTGAAGCAACAAGTTCAACATCATTGTTGGAATCTGCTTGTATGCCATTTATGATGTTTACTGAATCTATGTATAAGGACACAGAGATCCTAGGATCAACATTTATATTCAAATAAGCCAATTATCATATAGCTATACCTAAATAGTCCTTCACAGAGCCTTAGTAATGCCATTTAATGTCCAAACAGACTGCTTAGCATAAAACAAAAAGTACAGTTCACTAAGGGTAGGACACCTTTAAGTTCTTTTTACCTGCTTCATTTCAATTATTCTTCCTTGTGCTTTTGTCCTTATTCTCTTAGGTAACGTAATCACTATTTGTATAACTTTAATAGGACTGAGTCAGAATGATTAGTGAGATATAAAAATAGGATGAAGTGTCATTCTATTGTCTGATGTAGTTTTTTTCCTTCAAAGGCAGAGATCTTTCATACTTAAAGCATTCCCATTTAACCTGTAATACACGATTGAAAATTTCATTCTTTAGCTTTTGATCTTTGTTAAGTAGGATCTTTGTCAACTTGGAGAATTTAGGCTAGAAAGACTCACCTGTATATGTATATGCATATGTATGTATGTATATATATGTATACATACATACATGCTTACGTACATCTTGAGAAATGCTCAACATCCATAACATGAAAATCTATCACCATGGAAACAGAGATTATACTAAAGTTGGGTCAAGCCAAAGCACTGTGAACTTTCATTAAAATACTGATAAAATAATTACTATTTTTCAAAATATAAAGCTCTTTTGAAACATCTATCACTTTTTTTGATTTGCAATTTCTCATCAGTGTCATAAGTTGGAACCTTTTTCACAATCAGAGATGTCACTTTCCCTGCCTTGGAGAAATCCAATGTTTTCAAAGATCCCATTTACCATTCTTTATTGCACTCCGACATCATAAAGTTATACTTTACAGCTGCATAAAGAAGCTGTAAAATTAGCATTCTTGTAAACAATCTTCCATGCTCCCTGGATGAAGCAATGTGTGATTTGTACTGATCTTTAAAACATGATTTGAGATCACATTGCACATCATTTCCAACTGAAAACAACAATTGCCAAGTGCAGGCATAGGTGGGAGACATTAGGTAGCAAGCTAAAATGTAAAAATAAGAAAACAATACTTCACCTACTGAAGAGTTAAAGATTATGGGAGAAGTGACAAATTGGTGTGACCCCCATTATGCCAAAAAAAGGTCTCTTTTTCCTAATGAAAGACAAAATGAGCAGTCTCTTAATAAAACTTTTTAAAAAGTTAAATCAAGAATGTTTCAGAAAGTGGAGAACTGAAATGTTGTGAGACTTATCTATCAATTTAATTTCCAAAGACATCCCCCACCCCAAAAATAAGAAAAAAAAATGAGTAGATTTCATTAGCTGGGGTTTTTAACTAAGTAACAATGAGGAAGTCCTTTATGCTCACAGGTAGTTCATTAGTTTAAGGGAGTGGGGCATTCAAAAACAGCAACATTTTTCAGGATTTACTATTATAGTAGCCAAATAAAGAAATTTTCCGTGGGAAAGAGAACCTCTTATGAATCCTTATGCATTTCAAGGCAAGAATTTTATTTAGCTTAAGGTATAGTTTTCTTAGGTGACATAGATCTCTCTGTATAGCCTGGTCGCATAGACACAGCCTGATGGGAAGTTCCATTTTTAAACCAACTCATCCCTCTCCTTCCCATTACAGCTTGCCATTATCTGAGGCTATAACCAACAGTGTTTATTTACTACTGGATGGTCAGAACTGTTACCAGTCCCTGGGCAAGAGACCATGTGCAAAACTGGACCGCACAAAATGCTAGGCACTTAGAAACCACCCTGTGATGAAATATTGCCTAGGTTGGTAGTTTTATTAAACAGGGGCAGATCTCTCAGCCAGGAGCCCCCTGCCCCTCCCAGGCACCAGCATGAAAGGCTGTTTCAGTGGCACCCATTTCACAGAGAATTTATACTTAGCAGGTTGCCAGTGGCAGGAAGCAGAACTTGGGGCCTTGGGAAGGGCAAAGGGAAACCTGAGCCCCTGAGCTGACCCCTGATGTGGTCAAAACCCTGAAGAATTAAATAGCTTAGGCACTGCCCTTCTGACTCTGAATGAAACAGAATCTGTTAAAGGCAAGGAGTGTTAATCTCTTTTGCCCACTACCACTCTTGAAGATGAGAGATCCCAAAGCCCCTTTCTTTGTCTCCATCCATTCAGCAGTGCTCTCTTTTACTACCATTTCCTTCCTGCCCTCCCTGACATTTCTGTCTCTGTCTCTCTGTCTTTATGTATGTCTCCGAGTTTCTCTCTCTCTCTTTCTCTTTGTCTCTTTGTCTCTCTCTGTCTGTCTGCCTCTCTCTTTCTCTCTCTTTCTCTCTCTGTCTCTGTCTCTGTCTCTCTCTCACACACACACACACACACACACACACACACACACACACACACACACCCGCTGCCACCCTAAGGATTGAACCCAAAACAACAGGCTGACTTTTTCACCTTGAAGAAACTCTTTTGAGTCCCTAGACTGCCCATCCTGCCCCACTCCCACCCCTAATCCTGAATCTGGCACAGGTAGAGCCAGAGTCTCTAGTCTTCCTAGGAATCTATCTGTTGTTCCCAGGCCCCTCCTTACTAATCGATCTCTTTGCTCCCATGCAAATCTCCTTTGATTTAGGCTACAGGCTAGAAACTAGAAAGCTTAAACAAAGTGTATTGAAAATGAATATAGTAATTGTCCTAAATAAAATGCCCCAAATTCGAAGGTCAAGCAAACCAATGTTGATAATTTCTGGTCCCTTCTGAATCTGAATGGGAATTACACCAGAAGCCCCTCCCTTGCTACCAAACACCACTTACTCATACGCAAAACCAAAATCCATAATTCTCCATATCACATACTGAAAATGATTTTATTTTATCCATTTACATTTAACTTGATATAAAGTTGTCCGGAAAAGTCAAATAATATGCTTTATATTCGCTCAAACATTTATTAAGAAAACCAAATTCAATAAATTAGCACAGACAATAAGTTAAAACATATCACAAATTGACCAGTATGTAACAAGAATGCTTTATCTACACAAAACATCCTATTTCACATGTTTGTTCATTCTTAGAAATAGCTTCTGTTCTCTGGGGTTGGATTTGACCAGCACATGCAGAAAAAGCTGATTGTGTTTCTCTGTACAAAGTTGCAGGGTTGGAGATGTCCATGTGCAGGCACCCAGCCTGGTCATGGACCTGCTCCCTCAGCAGAGGCCAGTGGCCTTAGCCTAGGTGCAGTGGGGACAACAGCAACAGCAAACAAAACAACCATGAGAGACACAGACTGGCAAAGAACAAAGATAGAAAAGTCAAACAAAACCAACAGAAAGCCAAACCTGAAAGACCCAGAAAAGGGATGTGGCTTTTGCTTTTACAAAAGGAAATATTACTTGGACTTTTTTTTAAAATTCTTCCTTATAAATACTTATCAAAATGGGTGAGATCACCTCTCCCCTATGCATCATGTAACTTTCTTAGTCTGCTCCAGCCTCCCAGCCAAGTGGCAATTTCCTGTTAAGAAACTTCCTATTTATATTCCCACATTGTTGTGCTTAAAAAAAGAAAAAGGAGACAAGAAAACAATATTCCGCATCAAGCCAAAGAAATAGCTGGGTAGGTGGAAAGGTGGGGTAGCAGGTGAATAGAGAGGAGGAGGAAGAGGCGAAGGAAGAAGGAGGAGGAGGAGGAGGAGGAGGAGGAGGAGGAGGAGGAGGAGAAGGAGAAGGAGAAGGAGAAGAAGGAGGAGAAGACAAAAATTAAATTAGATCAATTAGGCCCTTAGATGAGGCAGACGGTAGCAGACACTTGTCCTCCTTTAAGACAAAAGTCCCTATTGTGTTGTCCCTTGAGCATGTCCTTGTGTGACTTAGGTGTTTTGTGTGTGTATGTTTGTGTTTGTGTGTGTGTGTGTTCATTTCTGCCCACAAACCAGTCCATTGGTGTCTGATTTCAGATCCTGAGTCGACTCCCTGGTAAGTAAAATGGCGGGAATAATGCATTTCGCGTGCTGCTAGGAGAAGGGTGGGGGGAAGTGAGTGAGGCAGGGAAGAGTAAAAGGGGAAATGAAGAAGGAGAATGTGACGAGGAGGCGGGCAATGAAGAGGAAACTTTGGGGGAGTGATGAGAAGATATAGGGGTTGTAGGTAGAAGAACAGAAAGAGGAGACAAAGAAGGTGGGGCATGAGAGTGAGAATGGAAAATGTGGACGGTGATAACAATCCTTCAAGAAGAGAAGGCGTAACTGAAAAACGGGGTTTGAGAAGGAAATGTGGCGAAGGCTTGGAGAGGCTGATGGAGAAAGGAAGATGCCCAAGAGAGGGTGAACATTCTGGAGTGGAAAAAAGGACAGAGGGATTTGATTTCGAGGGTCAAGTGTAGGAGGGAAGACGGTGAAGATAAAGAAACTGGCTTTTAGCTGGGGTGGGGGTGGGGGAGGTGCGGCGTGGAAAGGGAGTAAGGGAGTTAGAAGTCAGGGAGAGAGATGAGCTTATGGAAGAGGAGCACGAGGAGGCCTCGTGAGCAGAGGGGACTGAAGAGCAAGGGATATATGCAAAGGACGAGGCGGGGAGAGAGAAAAGAGTCTGGGGACTGGGGGGAGCAAAAGAAGGAGAGGGAATTGGGAAGGATCTAGGAGAGAGGTGCAGGGGTGGGGGTAGGAGAGCTGCTGTGGGGTAGGGGGGAGGCCAGAGGAATGGAAAGGAAATGGGTGAGATGCTGCTGGGCCATCGGGAAAGAGGAGAGCAGGTTCGGGATTTGGGCCCGGGGTCGGGGAAACGGGGCATTAGGTGAAGCTCATGGACACTGTGTGCTCTAGTGCTTTGCGGCGAAGGGACGCGATGCTTGTGCCCCGCCACACGTCGCTGCTGTCCGGGGAGCTGCAGAGCTGGGGCGAGCCCGTGACATTGCTCGGGCCGGGTAAGGAGGCGGGTACCATACCGGGAAAGGCGGGCTGGTAGAGGTGAGACTGCAGCCCGGCGCCGTTGGAACCCGCCAGGCTGTTGGACAGGCCCATGGAGTTGGGCGGAGGCCCGGCCGCCAGACTGCACTGAGACAGAGACTGCGCCATGGCCTGCTGCCTGCCCAGCGCGGGCGGCAGCGGCAGCTGAGACACGCCCGGCATAGCAGCCGCTGCCCAGCGGGTGTCATTGGCGTGGAAGGAACACAGGCTGTCCCCCATTGCGGCTGCGGCGGCCGCGGCGGCCGAGGGGAACTGCGGCAGGCCCGGCGTGGGCAGCAGCGTTCCGGGAGCCCGGAAAACGTTCGTCGTCTTCTTGCGCTTCTTCCACTTGGCGCGGCGGTTCTGGAACCATACCTGCAAGGGGGCCGGGTTGGGGAGGGGTGGGGAAGTGATTTGGGTAGGGGAAGACAAGGTCAGGGAAGGGAGACGGAGAGGTAGACACAGAGACAGAGGCTAAAGTTAGCGAGACAGCCAGAACTGCAGGAAGAGACAGACCAAACGGGCGTCCAGCAGCCCAATTCAGGGAGATGGGACTAGGTGAATGGCAGTCACGGGCTCAAGGGTCAGTCAGTCAATAAACATTTATTGAGAGCCTGTATGTGCCAGGCACCTTGCTAAGCGCTGAGGATACAAAGAAAGGCAAAAGGGCATTTAGCTAAAAATACCCAGAGCCACACAGAACATAATTTCTGATTCTTCCTTTCCCTTATCTTCTCTCCCCACGCCTAATTTTTGTTCAGTGTTGACACTATACTTACACAGTGCGTAGGTTCTCTACTAGACACGACTCCACATTATCCATGCAGGCATATTTCTGTTGGCACTAATCTTGCTGATATTCCGTGAGTACAATAAATACTGTGCCCTGCCCTATGGGCATGGGTGTATTGGCTTTATATGCCGCATATGTTCTGTGTGAACGCATGCACAAAGTATGTATCTATCATGCCCTAGAAAATACGTGCTTGAACGGAGGAGCTCTATGTTGTATCGGTCTACATAGAAAAAGAGCCTATTGTACAAACGTATATATTTCTTAGCTTTATATATTGAAAACCATATGTAAACCTATGTATTTCCCATTGTAATATTTGTAACACAATAGAGGGTTATAGCTATATATTTCTAACACAATATAAGGTTATGGTTATACATAGTATAACATTTCCAGAAAACTTAGAAATTTAAAATTTGAAAGAAAAACAAAGATACCGTGGACAACAATGGTCAGATACAAAAGATAAAAGAAAAACCCTTATAGTCTAACTATGGAGTGAACGGATGGATAGGTTAATGCAAGGTTTAGTGTGGGAAAGTAAGTGCCATTGATTCACATTATTGTTTGTGTAACTACTGTGACCTCCAGTGTCCCCAAGTTGCCCCAATAATGTTTGATGCCACTGCCCCAAGCTTTCCTACCTAATCTACATCTGTGTCTGCAGCCACTTCCACCACACCTTTTGTAAGTGTCCTTTAGAGTCCTGGAATCTATTTTCAGAGCCTCTGAACCGATTTGCCTTCAGGTCCCTACTCTTTTCTTGAACTATGTAGGGACTCCAAAAGCTAAGGCCCCGCTTCAGTTCCTTAAAGTCAGTCCTTTGTCATAGGATGAAAGTAAATTTGTCTCTCCAACGTTGCAAATAAAAGAAGGCCGAGATCCAGTCTTGCACTAGGTGTGAATAATAGGTGATTTTACTATGACAAACCTCTTTCTTTCTCATTGAAAAACATTCAATTAGTGAAAATAATACCCAAACAAAAGTGGAGGACTTTTGTTTTATTTCTTATTAGTGGCTCCTGGAATTTCAGCTTTTATTCGTTATATTGATGTATAGCTGCCAAAGTCACTAAAATGGCATGAGGATTCTGTAGGGAATCATCATCATGCTAATTATCATCTTTCTATGTTAGGATATTTATTTTGGGGTTTACTAACTAGGTTTTCATTTCTTTAATCCGAAGGTCAACTGATGCTTGGAAAAATTTTGGTTATGCATATGTGTCATCTGGACACTTTTAACCACGTGGAAATAAAAAAAAATAACATGGGATAGAGTTGTAGGATTGAATGAGTTTACTATAAAATTTAGGAGACATAATTTGACCATTGTATTCATAGGGGTCTACCCTTATCCTCTTATGGGTCACCCTCCATAAAGCTGTACCTGTCATTGTTCTCCCTGAAGTAGGTAACATGGACACAGGGCCACCAGAACACCCCTAATCTACTTGTAAACATGCTCTGAAGTTCCAGTACTGAATTGTTTTGTAATCTGGAGTTCCTCACTCTCATAAAATTTGGACAAGGGATGATCTTTTCAGAGAACTGCCTTTTGGATGAGATCTGGTAGCCAGACCATCCCTTGTTACTTTTCTCTCATATCTGTCCCATTTACTATAAAGACTGCTTACCCTCCTTGGAGAGGGTCTTTTTCTTCAGTGCTGCAGCCCAGATAGTTGGTGGCGTGTTGGATTAATGAAGCTGCAGAAACTTTCATAGTGAAAGGGATCAATGTGGCCTGCCTAGAATTGAGCTGTCTGTTACTCAGAGGAAGCAGGTTACAGGGGAAGCTGGGGGGAACTGGAGGATTCCTTCTCAGGGACTTGCAGCAGGCCTGAAAACCTCTCCTGTTTCATTCGTTCCCGAGTTTCTGACAACTGGGCAGGATCTTGCCGACCCAGTTCCCCAAGGTCTACTTCCAAACCGTAACAAACCGGTGCAAAACGTTTGGCTCTGGGAATTGAATTCTAACCCCAACTTGGGGAAGGTGGAAGGACGGGGAAGGAAGGAGAGAATGAGACAAGGATGAACTGGTGTTTGGTTTCAAGGTGATTTCATCTCCCTCTTTGTGCATGTACACACATTCACACTACACAAATATATGGCCCTACTCCGCACAGTTTTTCCGAGAATACATAAGTACAAGATGAATTCCTCATGCTCTACAAATTCGTCTCGGCTTCTACTGGAGGATCCCGAAATATGTTTAAAAGCTCAGAAGCTGGGGGAGGGAAGGGGAATTTACACTGCTGGGTTCTGTTTGGAAATCTGCAGTGGTTTGTCACTGACTGCCATCTATGCAGACCAGCAAATAAGATCAGCCATTAGCAAAATGAACAGCTGTTAAGGAACTAAATATTACAAAAATAATCTAAAAATTGTGTTCAATTATGTTTTAGGGTTAACAGTTAAATGGTGGCTGCAAGATCTTTTATGGTTTCATGGCTTACTGAGGTTGGAAAGAATCTCCACCAGATTTGATTGCCTCAGTTCAAAGCTATGGCACATATGTTTTAAAAAATATGAATGTTTCCAGTTGAAAACTAGTTCATGACAGATTAAAATGTAGAGAAAAACCTGAGGGAGATTTTTGACAATGCACAGAAAATATATTAACCGTAAGCATTGGCCAACTTGTACTCTGTTGGAAATGCAACTATTCCCTGAAAATGCTTAATACAACAGTGAGAGTCTAATGGAGGTTGGAATCTAAAAATCTATTTTCATGATATCTGCTGTTACAGTAATATAGACATACTGTAAATGTATTTTAAAATATATAGCCCGTTTAATTCCCTAGCTATAAATGGCTCAGAAATGGTGGAGGGGGGTGGATATTACTTTTTTTTTTCCAGAAGTGAAACCTTTATGAAGATCTCATTGGAATCCAGAAAATGATTAATGTGAAGATTTGGTAGGAAATCTGGAGAGCTGTATTAAAGCTCAGATCTCAGGTTCATTTCGATCAGCCAGCCGTGAACTCTGGGCCGAATTCATTACACTTTAATAGTGCTGGGAGAGGAAGAAAATGCAATTTCTCATTCCATTAGAAAACTAGAAAATACTCTCAGCTTGTCCCCTATTAAGATGTGGCAGGTGACAGGGGCCATTCTGGGGGACACGGTCAATGGAATTACAGCACATTATTTTGGTTCGTATAAAATATTGAAAGGCAAGTCTGACTGTGCTGAAGTTATTTCACTGATTTGGTTTTTATGTAAATAAAATATTGAAAGTTAATTAATCCGTGCTAGAGACTAATGATTATGCTTATTATATTGCATTTGATCGCATAATTTGCATGATTCTCGCATTGCTGCTTAATAAGCCATTCCAGGTTATAAATAATTCTGAAATTGGTTTCTAATAATGGCATGCTATAAAAGGAATGGTTTTATTACACCAGCCTGAAAAGAGGAGAGATATCAGACATGGAATTGGTCTCCATATGAGTAGAAGTCTATTTAATAATTGCTTAGAAGTGTAATATAAATTAAATATAGGTTGAAATATAGTATTCAGGACAATTTGCTCTGGAATCAGAAGCATTTTAAAACATATACAATGGCAATAAATTAAATGTTTAGATCATTCTTTAATCAGTGTGGTGGCCCACATACTGAAAGAACACTAGCAATCTGTTAACTATAAAGAAAACTATAAAGTACTCATCATATAAGAACATAAACCAATTACTATTTAATTTGAATTTGGTCAAGGAGCAATGGTACAGTGAATTGTGAAGTAAATACATTTCACATAAATTATTTCTGCATTACATTACATAATGTTAATCATTCTGAAATGTTAATTAAGAAGGTTATGTTGATCTGATTACTTTTTAAACTACAGAACATTATTTTTTAAAAATATTGAAATTGCCACTCTATTAAATTGTTTTTATCAGCAGTCTCAAGCTATTATCTTTGGTTTAAGATTATGCTGAGACAATTAAAGTACTTTGTCTCTTTCTTCCTACGTACTTCTTTTGTGTACTTTTGGAAAATAACTGTTTCCGTTACGTATTTTATATTTTATTTCACTTATCACTTTCCTAATATAGAAATCGCTGTCATTAACCTTTGGAAGACCCAATAAAGTTTAATAGACCTCGTTTTCTTTTTTCATAAAGTCACTTGTCCAATTATATTTTATTTGTGATTCTAATTTCTATTTTAATTTAAACTAATTATCAACGTGGCCAGGTTAAGCAAAAGTATCTTACTTTTAAAAATAAAAATTAATATACAGTTACTGTTTCTCTTGAGGGAAAATAACCGCCATACTTTCTCATTGTGAAACATCAAGATAGCGATTTACCTGGTTATTATTATCTTTGTGCTAGTGAAAATCTTAAAATTGTATTTGTAAATGCTCGAACTTAGATTTAGGAAGACGTCTGGTGTAAAAATTTTAAATCGCATTAGTAATGTCACTGCACAATGTAATGAAAGTCTTTCAGTGAATACTTTCAATGAGGATAGGTTCAGGCCTGTGAGAGTTTAGAAGGAAAACTACTTAGATTTATTGGAGTGTAAAAAAAAGTCACTATGTTGTGTCCTTTATACTATCTTATTATTAATTTTGTCCACTTCAGGCCTCTGATGACATTCATTTGCTGTATATTAGAATATCCAATGTGAGCAGTTTTTTTAAAAATACGGTAATAGGTGTATGTAGGTATATATGAACATATATATATATACATACGTATACATATATACACATAAGGTATATCGATGTTATGACTGCTTTCACCCTCCTTCTTCTATTACTGGATAACATCCGCATCTGAACACATCCGAGACCTTTTAAAATGAGATTTTTCAAAGCAACTGACCTTGGTTTAACAAACCATTTAGATTGTTTGAAAAATGCCTGGAAGATTTGATACCTACTACCACAATTTACCCTGAAGAAGACGCCCCAGCTTAATGCCGCTTTTCAGCACCCTGGAGAGCTCGCGAATGAGATCCAGGGAATTGAGTTTGGACTTAAATTCCACAGTATTCTTGACAGGGTTTGGGGACGAACGCTGCTTTTAGATTAGAAATTTATTAGGCTTTTATTTTATTTCAAACATTTCAGGAATCTTATAACGTAATCTCCTAGGTTATTTATATTTTCCCGTTGGCCTGGTGGTTAGTAGTGTTCTTCACTGCCAATATTTCCAGAAGTGAACGTTATTTCTTAACTACACCCAGCCTATCGCCAAGACCCTTCAGGTCTCTGATCACTTACAAAGTGCTGTTGTTCGAAAGAGAGAGAATGAATGTTGAGGAGATAAATCTAAGCCCTTTAAGACGGGTCCGGAGATCCATTTTCCAGTTAGCACCATGATCCCTGTAGACTATCAAAGTCAAAAATCGATGAAGAATCAAAGCTGGCGTCTATGTGTCCTTATGTATTTGTGGAGTTCACTAAGGAGAAATACACACTCCATGTAAGCCGGAGTATGATTTTTTGGTAAGGACTTAATTCTGGGCCAAGTATTTTTCTTTTCTTTTCCTATGTTTGTGTGTGTGTGTGTGTGTACCATACTTATTGTCACATCAGTCTGGAAACACACACACAGTGAAACAAACCTTTGATATTTTCGGGGGGGGGGGGGGACGGGAGATATATGTATATAATTGGAACTAGAGTAAGACTTTACCAACTGACTTAGCCTGAAGGAAAATATCTGAATTTTTCTCTCCACAGGAGCGAGATGGAACTGACTTCAGAAGGAACCCGCACTTCTGTCTTCAGACGTTAAAGTTTTCACGTATGTGTTTTGGACGTACAGTAAAGTGCTGAGGGCAGGTTGTGAGTGAATTCCCGTTTTTGTGCCTGTTGGGAAGCTAAGGTGGTGAGTCTGAGCTTGGCACGGAGTAGATGAGGAAGGAATCCGATCTGGAATCCTGTAGGCGGTTTAGCTAGCAACCGGGGAGCAGGGAGGAGAAGGAACAAGACCGCCTTTCTCTACTTCCTGTCCCCTTTGACTTCCCCAGTAGGAAAAGGCAGCGCAATCCCCAAGGCCCCACATACCTGTACTCGGGATTCGGTGAGGCCGATTCGCAGGGCCAGCTCCTCCCTCATGAAGATATCCGGGTAATGAGTCTTAGCGAAGCTCCTCTCCAGCTCGTTGAGCTGCGCGGGGGTGAAACGAGTGCGGTGGCGCTTCTGTTTCTGCTGCCCTTGCTGCTGTCCAGCCTGACTGGGGTTCTGCCCGCCCTGTGGCCCCGGCTGTTTGTCCGGGTCCTTGGCGTTGACCGCCAGTGAGGCCGTGTTAGAGCCCACCGTGGTGATGTCCTCTCCCGGGAGAAGTGTTGCTCCCTCTACCGTGTCCGAGTTGGGGGCCAGGTCTCCCGGATGACCCCCAGGGTCGGAGCCCCCCACGCCCAGCCGACACTTCACCGCCTCCCGGTGTCCCAAAAGCTCGGCGGCATCTTTCATACCTGAGGATGTAAAGGAAATGGCATCACTACCTTCCCCGAGAGGCCGAGACCAGGACACCTCTCCTGCACCTCTCACCTCAGCGAAACTCCCTATTCTGTTCGCCCATCAAGGCCTGATTGTTAAAATCATCAACTCCAGCCGGCCCATCAAAGTTCTCAATATCTTCGCCTTGTTAGTCCACGATCTGGAAACCCAAGGTGGATTAATACCTCGTGTCCCCTTTCCCACACTCTGGATCCATCTCCCGTGATAAACAGCACATACCTCCATATCTCCTGTAATAAAATACACTCCCGTCCCCTACAATAAAACATGTCCCAGGCCCTTTTGATAAACCGCATCCCCGGTGCAGCAGTAAACCAAACATAACTCCATCCCTCTTCCCACCTGCATTTCCAAAGAGCAGCAAACTCTCCCCCACAGCCAATACACTTCTCACCTTCTGAAGAAAATCTCCAAACTTTTCCATCTCGGGAACAAATTGAGACCCCAGCCCTAACCTCAACCCCAACTGATCCTATCTCCTCCCAGATATGCGAATGGGTTTGGAAATTGGAGCCACATTCAACAAAGCCTAAGTAATAATGAAAAGTATAGTAAAAGCCAGGAACCCTCCAGCGAGTACAATTGAACTGAAGTTGACGAGGCTTCTAGAACAGTGAATCAAACTAAAGAATTCAACTTTTCTCTTCAGTAAAAAGAGAGGCAGGAATCTCCTAGCCAACAGGATCTCGGAGCCCCTTCCAGAAAGTGGAAGAGCCAGCCTGTGAAAGTAAATTTTGTCTTTTCTTTTCCAAAGGCATAGACTAAACAAATCTGCCTCCATTTCATCGCCTTCTCCTTCCTGCCAGATTTTTGACAAACTTAACCTTATTTTTTAAGGTAGGGAGGGGAGGAGAGAGATAGGGGGAGAGCGAGATAAAGAGAAGAGAGAGAGAGAGAGAGAGAGAGAGAGAGAGAGAGAGAGAGAGAGACCTCAAATTAAAACAAACAGAAAAGGAGAGAAAAGCCTCAAACAAATTATCAGTGATGTATATCTTCCCTTCCCCAAAAAGAAAAAAAAATGAAAAACAAAAAGAAAGAAAAAGAAGAAAAAGGAAAAAGGAAAAAGGAAGAAGAGCAAAAGTAGCAACATTCTCCAACTCCTTTTTTGAATCTACATATTCCATAGATTTTTTTAAAGACGATGTTAAATCAAATTAAACTTTAATGCAGCACAATTACTTTTAAAGAAATTAGCCCATTTAGGGCGCATTAAGGTAAAATAAGGAACAAATTGACAATTTCCTGCCCTGGCTTCTCCTGGTTGCCGGGGCGAGAGGAACACACTCACCTAGCCTGGCGTCCAGGAGGTCGGCGTGAGATAGCATCGCGCACCGCTCCAGGGCGAAAGCTGTTCCCCCCCAAATTTTAGCGGCTTTAAGTTATTTAAAATAGATATAAGATATAAGATATAAGATATAGATATATATAGATCACCTAAATGAAAGAAAATTCGGTTTGTGGTTAAAAAGGGGGCTTCTTGCATTATAATGTCCTTTAGAGAGACGGGGAGGTGCTTAACAGTTGAATGAACCCGTGAGCAGCTCTGCGAGGGGACCAATCAGGAGGGCAGCCTGCAAATGTCAGAGCCCGGAGAGTCCCCCACTCCGCCCGCCCGCCCGCCGCAGCCCGGAGCGCCGGCGGCGGCGGCGGCGGCGGCGGCGGCGCCAGCAGCAACACTGACGAACAGCCGCAGCTCAGCAGCTGCAATTGCAGCGACAACGGCATCATCTCAGGGCTGCTGGCCTGGGCTTTTTATCTTTTTTTTCCTTCCCAACACTTTCTCTGATCCCATCTTCTTTTCCCTCGTACCCTCCCTCCAAGATCCTACCCCCCCATATCCCTACTCCTTTTTTTTCTTTTCTTTATTCTCCCTTTCTTTTTTTTTAAGTGGGGGTGGGGGAGTGGGGAGGAAAGAAGAGGGGATGTGTGAATGAGGTGCAAGTGGAAGGAGATTTTGTCGGGAACGACCCTTCAATGACTTGACAAATGAAGCCTAATAAACTGGAGGAGAATCGGCTACCGCGGGGTTTGGGGCGGGAGATGGGGAGACTTTGGGATGCCAGGGCCCTGAGTCCAAACGCACTTTTCGGACGGGAACTAGGAGAGGTGGGGAGGTCAGAGGGAAGAGACTCGGAGCTCCCCAGAGGTTCGAGAGGCAAGTTTTCCTTGCTCTATCCCTAGGCTTGTGCCTGAAGTCGGGACTCGGAGGTCCAGAGAGAAAGGTGGCGAGGATGCGCCTACTCTCCCCCAGCTTACAGAACACTAGGTCCAGCCCAGTCCCCTCCTCCTCAGTGGGCCGAGCTGGCACTCTGCTTTTCAGGCTTTATGTTCTTTGGTCCTCCCAGAGTCAGCTCGTAGGGCCTCCAAGGGTCAGCGCTGCGCTAACACAAGCCTTCCCACTAGTCCTCTCTCCCCCCCCTCCTTCCGCCTCCCCAAATCTTCCCTGGCCCTGACTGATATTTTAACACCGCCCTACTCCTGCCCCCCACCCTGGACTGGAATAGGGGGTCTTTTTGGTCAAAGTTTCCAAGTTCAGCTTGTTTCTAAACTCCATTTAAGGCCGTAAATAAAGTTAAAGGCTTTTTATTTTCCTCTTGAATATGTTAAACTACTTGAACAATTTAAAGTGCTTTGCACAAGTGAAGCGAACCATTTCTAATGTTCTGATTTTTCAAAGCCAGCCAACAACAAAGTTTAGATTAGTAATATATTTCTAACCAGAGTAATTTTCAAGATCATTAGGCATTTATGTAATTAGTGCCAAATCTATAAGCTTTTATTACGATTATTAGAGTAAAATCAGTATAAATTTGTACTAATTTACTACTGTTTAGACTTGGCTGTCAAGCCAAGAGGGTCTTATTGTAAATGATAACTGAGGAAATTAAGTGCAAAATTCTGTACCATTTCTGATCCGCTCCTAAACAATCCGTTTCAATTGTATTTGTAGCAGAACATAATGCCCCTTTAAAGTTCTTTGACTTGTATTTTTATTTGCAAAAGAAGAAAAATGCCTTCTACCCAGGCCCAGTGAAAACGGGTATTTACTACTCCCAACTTTATTAACATCGATTTTTAATTCGAAAGTGATGCAATTAAGATTATTCATTTAGTGCAAATAAAGCTTCCACAAAAGGGTGGTCCTATGAAGTCTGTTTTAAATAATACCGAGCAAATGGCTTTTTTTGTTCGCCGTCCAATTGACTTACACAAAACATTGAAAAAGCTGCCTTCGACCAGATGCGAGAGGAATTGTGTGTGTGTGCCTGTGTGTGTGCGCGCGCGTGTGTGCGTGTGTGTGCGTACGCGTGTGTGTATCTCCTCCACTATGTGTTTCGACAGGGACTGAGCGAGGAGACAAAGGAGGCGACAGAGTGAACTCTGGGGCAGTTTTGTTCCCTTATCCTCCCCCCCACCCCCATCTTACGCTTTGCCCACCCCATCCCTAGCCTCGGGGGCGCGCGCGCGCTCGCTCACTCACTCACAGCTTAAGAGTGTTCAGGGCCTCAACCACATTGATTCATTTCTAGCTTACAGAGATGGCAGGCGGTGCCGCTGAACCAGTCTGCAAGGCCGCGGCTGCCCTGCTGCCGCTGCATCTTTTTATAAAGCTGGGGAGACAGGGAAACACACATATACAAGCGCTCACATATAGACAGGGAGCTCGAACCCGAGCTGGTCTCTTAGTAACAGCGCCTATCAACTGTTTATTTGGGTGGCTGCTTTTCTCTTACTGTTTCAGTTTCAACAACCTCCCCTCTTGGAATGCGTGCCTGTGAGTATTTTTAGAGAAAGATCCGCTTGCCGGGTTAGAGAACCGCCGAGTCCCCCAAACATCTCAGTGTCCCTCTCCAGTAGCCCACTTTAAAAAAACAAAACAAAACTGACCTTGATTTTTAACTCCTCTTGCCCCGCCCTTCCCCAATAAATAGGAAGAAAAAGGAGAGTAAGGATCAGGGAACGGTATCAGCGGCCACCAGCACCAGTAGGAGCTCCAGCCGCGCAGAATCCCGAGAAGTGCCCTGCACTGCCCTGGGGCAGAGGTGCCAAGACGGAAAGCTGGGCCCTGTTTTACGCTAGCCCTTGGGGGGGGGGGGGCAGTGGGGTCTAGGCCTTAGTGCGCCTCCCAGTGCCTCTGAGCGCCAGTTTTGTTTGTTGTTTTTTTTTCCTCCTTCGATGAGTGTAGGGTTTGTTGGTCATTTACAACTCTTAAGGGGTCGATTGTAAACTGAGCGTTGGGAGGGTTGAGCAAGCTACAGCGAGGGTAAAGAGGGAGGAGAGGAAGAATGGCCTTACTCCCTATTTTTCGTTTGTTTGTTTTTGCTAAGAATAGGATGACGTGCTTGGCTGGGAGAATGATCTGAGGAAAGGGTGTCTGTGACCCTAGAGCAGGCGGGAAGAGAGGGAGGCAGGACAGGGCTGCACTCGTTTGGGAAAAGGAGAGAGGAACACATTATCTCCACAAGTGTGCGTAGAGATAGGTAGAGGTTGTGTATTGCACGAATCCCATACTCTCGAACAAGTTTCCAGCCACGCAGACACACACCCGCTCCTGCACTCGCTCATATATTCTGCTTTGTTGTATCTTTCAGGTCGATAAATAAATGTGTAATAGTTAATGTGAAGACACATCAGAGTCATAACAATGGGACGAAATCTAAGGATTATCCATCTCTGTTAGTAACTGCTGAATAACAATGTTGCGGCGTGATTGATAGCCCGCTTCATTTTATGACTTTTCAACTGCTCTTGATTTTTATAGCAGTATAAACAAACTAAATCATTTCTTCCAAGACTTCAGAGCACAATCGTCTCAGGGAGGGGAAAAAAGACAAGAAAGGGGGGAAAAAGAGGAAGGGAAGTCTGTTGGAGTGTATGTGGCGGGGGCGTGGGGGTGGGCACGCTCAGGGTAGAGGTTGGATGGGGGGGGGAAAGGAGGAGCAGAGAAGGAGAAGAAACGGAGCGGCGGGAGGCACGTCAGAAGAAAATGACAATAGTCTGTGTGTAAAACGGTGTTCCTGCGCTCTTTCCCTCTCCTCCACTTGTTCTGTCAAATGTCTGCATCCACCTGTGCTGTGGCTGAGATGTATTTACAAGAATTTTATTCCCCGTCATCTTTCCACGTTCTCGGGGCAGCCAGAAAAGAGCCAGTCAGGCCTATTTTCGTAGATAATTGAAGGCATTTCCCACATGATCATGGGAGCTGAAGCCCCTAACAAGGAAAGGCTTTAGCTCAATGGCCCCAAAATCTTCAGAATGACAAGAATGTCTTCAGAAATCACTTCAAAGCAAAGTAAAAGGATTTTCTATGACGGATCCAGTGATTTTTCCTCAATAAATAGGTTTTAGATTGTTACACACACGTAAAAGTGGAACAAAGGGAACTACCAGAAAATATATTGGTTGCCCCTAATAAAATTTATTTAGACAGTTTACTTCTCATAAAAAATAGAGATTGAATTTTGTACAAAAGCCTGCCAAGGGGCTAGGCACAGGGAAATCATTTTTTTCTCCCTCTTTTCCCCCCCTTTCTCCTTTTTAACGAAGCTCACGGAGTGGTTAAAGGCGAAACAACCTGCTTCTCCTCCTGCTGGGACTTGGGTGCCTGAGCAAAGGTGGAGAACTTTAGAGTTCGGGGGATTGTGGGGTTTTTGTATGTTATTTTTAGATCAAAGTTTAGATGGCTGATGCTACAATAGATTAGTACAGGCAGCCACTGCCTGTACTTAAATAAGGAAAGCATACTCAGCAAAGGCTGAGCTCAGTCTTTCTGTTTAGGAACTGGACCTAAAAACGTTATGGGGGTGTGTGGGGAGAGAGGGGCTGAGCTCCTAATGTCATAAAGATGGATTTATACTAATTACTGCGATAGGTTTGTAATTCTAAATTTCCTTCTAATTGTATTTATGCGTTCATTGCGCATCCTTTGTAAAAAAAAAAATAGGCTAGGGCAAGAAATGGGCTGTGTGCTCAGCGCTCTAATTGCTTTTTACACTTACAGAAGCCTAGGATGTTTATTAAATGTAACTTTCGGCTGCTTGAGTTGTTTGTAAACTGCTTTCTCCTATTTGCAGACAACGGGCTGAAATATGGTACATTATTATTCACATTCCTGCTATTAAATGCTGAATTGTAACATTGTTCCCTTTAATGAGGAGCGCCTCCCTCAATAATTAACGATCTCACATTTTCCTATTTTCTTGCCTGATGAAAAGAATCAATTTTAATTCGTTGTAAATTACAGCCATGCTTTTGGGTGTTATTTGCTTACAGAAAACAAATCAAGTAGTTTTTTAATGATACGGCGACCACCGAGATCTACACT